GTTGTCATTTTACATTATTTTTAAGGGGTCTTAAGTAAATCTGTAGGGACAGGAACTTGAGAAAACGTCCATTTTTTTTCAAGTATGTAGTGAATTCAACCCCCACTTGACCCCCAAGTGCTACCCATAAAGGAAAATATAATCCTCTTTCTTCCTCCCAGTTCCTGACCATCCTTTTAATAAAAGGTAAAAGATTTATACTGTCTAAAGAGAAACCAGAGTATCCCTAATCATCCTTTTAAAGCTGGATTCTTCAACTATCTGTTCAAATTAAGAAAAAAAGTACTTTTTTTTTTTTCTAAGAAAGTTCTTCCAAAGTACTCCTGGCACCAGTTTGTCCAGACATTTTGATGGCTGGGATAAATGGGACCAATTTGTCACATCAGCCCTTAGCTAGTGTGCTTGGGCTTGCGGGAGGCCACTCAGCTAGAGGGCTCTCTGTTAACCAGGAAGGATGGTGGCAGGTCCTCTTTGCCTTGAACAGTCTAAATGGGACTAAGTCAAAGCCATCTCATCCCTGGGAGGCTTAGAGATTGAAGAGAGATTTAAAAATAAAACTACATATGAAAAGCTATCTATCACCTCGTTTAAGAGGTAAGCTATAAACTTTTCTGAAGTATTTTTCAGACAACGGTACTTAAAAACAGTTCTCAGTGATCTGATCTCTGGTAATCCACAAGGAAATAAATGTTAAAATACACATACGGAAACACATTTGCTGTGCCATTTCCTTTATGCCCTCCAGGACTGTCCTTAACCTTGGGGGGGGGGGTCTGTCTGCTCTCACACATTCAGTCTTGAGTTTCCCAGGGGACACTTTCTTCTGTGGATTCGTGAATAAACCTTTCACGAAAGCCTTCCAAAAATCCCAGTTTGATTAAAACAGAAGATTACAGCTCTTTAGAGGCAGTTATGCATTTTAAAAATTAACCGATTTTCTGATACACTATCCTAGTAATAGGATATAAAAAACCAATGAATGACAGTGAATGAGCTTCTTCAATGTAGGAGCTTTGTAATGTGTTTTAAAACACTGTTACCCAGCTCCGGGTGCGTGTGTAGGGGCAGCGGTGCCAGGACCTAGCGAAGGCCCCTCTCCCCACGATCTGCAGCTGCCCTGGCCTTTCTCCTGTTTTCACTTTCCACTTTTTGAAATCCAGTTCTGTTGGGTTCTGATGTTTTACTACATAATCCTTTTTGCATGAACATATTCTAGCTCTCTACCAAAATTCCTTCCCAAAGCAACCATGAGTTTAGCTTTCTTGGCATTTTAAGGAAATGCCCTAAACAACAAACCTCAGCATTCTAAGGTTTTCTGGCTGCCAACCACGCCCCAGAGAGGTATTACTTGTTGGGTGTCGGGGAACAGGCGGTGTTAAAAGGCAAACCAGAACTGATTTAAAGCAGAAGGGGAAGAAACTGAATGCAGCATTTTCCGTTTTGGCAAAGGTACTCCCGCATGTAGGGGCTCGTAAACAAGCCTGTGCCAGGGACGGGGAGAGAGAAATGAATGTGTCTGATGGTTCTTGAGTTTGGAATCAGCGCTTTGCTTCCTCTCTGATTGGAGAACCACCGATTCTAGGGAAGGACAGTGAAGAAGGAGAATGCAGACAAGTCCAGAATATGTTTATCTGCCGATCTTTTTCGTCCGCGAATAAGCACACCGATACATCCTCCGGAGATTAAAGCCTTTGTGATGTTCCTCAGTGGGGGTCAGGGGGTGAAACTGTGTCCCCCAGATCTGGAATTTAGCAGCTGCTGGCAGGCTACCTTAAAGGAATTATGGAAATGGTACCATTCCCCTTGGCAAATGCTCCGTTTCTGCCTGCCCCCAAGGTAACCACGTGCCTGGCCCTGGCACCACCAGGGAGCTTGCCTCCCTGGTCACAGACATGCAGGCTTGCGATGAGGGGCGCACCCCAGGCCCGCGCTGGGCCTCCACGTTACTGGCGCCGCCCAGTTCAACACTCCGGGGCAGACTCCACGGGGTGCTGGCTGTGTCCCTCCCAGGGTTGGCTCAGCCGTCTCAGCTGAGGCCACCTTGGAGCACCAGGGCGTCTGGGGCCTCCTCTGCCGCTCGCTGGGTTCTGCTTCGCATTTCCCAAGGGCTAACTGTACGTGCATCTCTGGCCGGAGATGCGGGCGCCATTCTAGGCCTCTCTAAATTTTGGAAAACATGAAGTAACAATGATTTGCCCTTGAAAGTCTCTTGAATTCAACCTACTGGGCACATTTTCCGGCCTGGGATCCCTCCCTTGTGGTGTGGAACTCCCCGGAACATAGCCGTCTGGTTTCAGAGCCCCGAACTACATGGTCCCCACGTGGGCCAGACGCCTCGTCTCCGGCGGCCTCCCCTCCCAGCTCCAGCTCCAGGGGCTGCTCTACGCAGAGCTGGCAGTGAAAAACAGGAGTCGGCTTGCCCCTCCCCATCTCCTCCTCTCCTCCCACTACGCTGGCCTGGCCGTGTGTATATAATCAGGGAACTGGACAATGCCAGCCAGTCCACTGACACGCCAGGGGCGGGGCTGAAGGTCCTCGGAGGTGCCTGGGACCCAGAAGGAAGACTGGCCGGCGAGACTAGAGCATCGTGTGCCAGAGGCAGGCCTCCCACGGCTTCCTCTGACTGCAGCCCTGCACTAGGGAACGATTAGTCGTGGCCACAACTTAGTACAGGCCTCTAATCCTTGCAACCAGCTTTCTTTTTGAGAGAGGTTAAATAACTTCCAGGAAGTCACAGAGCTCACACGCAGGGAAGAGGTAGCTGTTAGGATTTAAATCCAGGCTTTTCTGGTTCCAAGGCCCTGCTCCGTCCGTATGGCGGTGTCTGGGCAGCGCTTTAAATCAGGGGTTTTCTTCACTGGGGAAACACTTCGAACCCTTTGCTCGGTTCCTCTTCTCTGGATGGTACGCACTGACACTCCAGTGCCTACTTCTCCCTTAAAACAATCAGACAGTGTCCACGGACAAAGCCGCGGTAGCTGTCTCTCGGGACTTCTGGAACCCAGGCTCAGCGCTGCACCTGCTCTGCGTCCCTAGGTGTCTTCCAACCACATCGCAGAGAGAGCGGCAGCCGGCGCTGGGAGAAAGCCTGACCCTGAGCTTCCCGCGGGGGATCCCACCCGGCCGCCAGCGCCGGGGAAATCGCTGCGCAGGGTCCCAGCCTCTGTGGACCTCCGCGCGCACGCCCAGGCCCCTGGGCACAACGCTGCCGCCAAGTTCTGGCGCCACCTGAACCTCGGGGGTCTTCCCTTGTGTTCCTGCGGGCCAGCGAGCAGGACTTGGAGGGAAAAGCAGACGCACTCCCGGCCAGCTGCCTGCACTGGCCCCGGACAGGGGTGGTGGCAGAAGGGCCGAGTGTAAAGGCCGGGTGAACACGGTCCCCCGAGCACCACAAAGCAGGCCTCCAGATTCCGCACAACTGCGAGCAGGGCTGACCGTGGGGGCGGCGCCCTGCGTGCGGGGCCCACGAGGTTGCTCTGCGGGCTAGTAGATGCCGGGACGCCAGGGACGCGTGAACATCTCAGAAACATCGACCTATCACCTCCCTTAGGGACCCGGACCGGGAATATTCCATTTTCTGTCTTGGAAGTAAGAAACACAAGCTACCAGGAACTTGCTGTGCTCGCCCCTTCGAGTCCATCTACCTAACGGGTGGCGGAAGGGGCGCGGGAAGCTTCGCGTTTTGGGGCGCAGCTGGCGTCCGTGCGCCCAGCGCCCCGGCCTAGGGTCCCCGCGGGTTTTCGCACGTTGCGCGCCCCTCTCGGGAAGCACAGACCCGCAGCAGGAAAGGGAGACCCGGCTCCCTGCGCGGCGATGGCCGTGTGACTTCTTTTCCACTCAAGCACACCTTTCAGGGCCCAAGGACCCTCTCACTCCAGGTTGCCCCAGTGGAGGAGGGCGGCGCCGGGACTGGCTGGGGTCCCAGGGGGCGGGGTGGGAGTCCAGAGACACTTTGCACGGGCGTTTATTGCAAAAGTAGCAGGAAATCCCTTCTCCAGAGCGAAGGACAATGAACAAGAACTAAAGGGAATTCAAGTGGAAAAATCTGTGAATGCAAGAACGACCCACAGCTGGAGCTGAGAGGTTTACATTAAGCCCTGCGTGGTTCTTTTCCTTTGCGAGAAAGGGCATTATCATGACTTTTTCTCCAAAAGTGTCTGGAGAAATTTTTCTTCCAGACGTGTATTTTAACAAACCCATTGCTGCTGGACATTAAACTGTATTAGTTATTTTCTCCGGCAGCACTACCCAAACTGTGCAAAGAATGTACTTTTTTTGCCTTTCCCCATGGTCGTTTAGGACGACAGAGTTATTTCTTTTGGGTTAAAAAAGATTTTCATTAAAAAAAAATTCTTTCACTGCAAGATGTGTTAGGTTTCCAAGTAAATTCCTTTAAAAAACAATACTTTTTAAAAAAGAATAACAACAATTAGCTTCCTCTAATAAAGAGAGGCTTGGGTATTCACCCTAACAGTTACACATAACAATGAACAATTGTTAAGTCATTTCATGCAATTTCCAGTTCCTTTAAAAAGCATTTCTGGGCAAAAGCCCGAAAGCAACTCATCAGTCTTTTTTGGAGTTACTTTATACAGGTCTCTGTACACACGTCTTGGGTAAAGGAAAGTCGTCGGCCCTCACACGGCAGTGCGCGTCTCCACTACCTGCCTGCGCTGTCAGCCTTCTGTGGGAGCCAGCGGAGGATGGAAACAGAGCGGGCTTTTAGAAACCTGGGTACAGAGGGAAGGGCAGAGAGCACCCAAATCTACAGAGAATTGGTAAGAGGCTGACCAGCAGAGAGGGCCCTTAGGCAGGTTAAATAGGTCAAGCCAGCAGCAAGACCCTCTTGTAGACCCCAAGTACCTTCTACTGAAATGCATGCTTTCCCAGTTATTTCTTAATTCTCTCAGCTAGATATACACATACACATGATTAAGAGGGGGTCAGCAGTCATTCATACTTTTGGACAAAATGGGTCAATCACACTGAGATGAGCTGTATCAAGGAAATAGACATTTTATTTAAAGGAAAAACAAGGGTGAGTAATTTCTAAGCACAGAGCGATTTGAGCTGTGCACCAAGCAGCAAGCTGGGAGCATCTAGGAGAGCATCGTTGGGCACCTGAGGGAGGGCACGGAGAAAGGATGGGATCCAGCCTGAGGGTGGAGACCGGCGAGGAGAGCATTCCAAGACAAGATGCCGTTCAAAAATAGAGTCCTAGAGTTAGTCTCCAACCCAGGAAAGAGGAAGACGTCTCCTTTCGTTTTTATTTGTATCACAGGGTTTCTTATCCATAAAACCCAGAAATCGAACCAAAACAATACTATAACTATGGATTAAATAGGTTTTTGTAGGCTAGTTTGAGTATCTAGTAACTATTTATAACATCAATGGGGAAATGAATTTAAAGATCCGAGTAACTGTTTTACTTCCAAAGTTTCAGAACTTCAGTTTACATAAATTCAGGGATAACTCCACTTATTTTCCATTAACTTCATATAAACATATGTATGAACGAATGCAGCAACATGCCAACATATTTTAGGAAAAAATATGAAAATAAAACTTCATAGAGAAATTACAAAGCATAATAATATTATCTTTCAAGACTGTTGCAAGAAAATACTTTGAGGAAATAACTGTTAATGTGTCAATTGCTAGTTAACATTACTAGCATTCCTATTATTACTAATTATTAGTTATCATTAATTGCTAATGTTAACAAATAATACACAATATGTGAGTATGTAGTCAACATTACCTTTGTTATGGAAATATGCTGTCATAGTACCTAAGTCTTTTAACAAATGTATGTGCCTAGTAGGTGCAAAACAGTGTAAATACCTTACCTATTGTGAATGAGACAAAAAAAAGCAATAAAAAAAAACAGCCACATTGTTGGGATGTTTATAATACTGCTGATATTTTTGGGGCCGCATTTAATCTATATAAGTCTAATAAATACAGAAGTGGTTATGGATTTTTATTGCCTGCAAACTCTTACAAGTAGGAGAAGAAAGTACCAGTACGTTGATGGCAGCACAGTCACTAACCCACACTCGGGGATTTGTTTTACACTTGAAAGAAGAAATGTTTAGAATGGAACAAGACACAAGTGCACTGGACAATCTAGTCTATATTTGGCTTTGGCAATCCTGTAGGCCCAGGAATATACCTGCAGACCAATTCCAAGTACTAAGAATCAAGGTTAAAGTTTTCACACACATCACAATGACAAATTAACTACAAACCAGAGCTTGTACACGCAACTTTAAAAAGGGCACAGTAGAACTGGTAGAGTGACCAGAAGTGACTTCTCACAATATTGCATTATGAGAAACATACTTCACACACAAGACACTGCTTTGATGGGATTACAGAAAAAGTCAACTCTTAAAAAATAGTTCACGTCCCAATCACAGAGCCAAACTTCATTTTAGGTCAGGCTGCACGAAACAAAAAGTGTTCTTAAAAACAAACAACCAAAAATTGGCATTTTCCCCTTTCTTTCTGCTTCCAGGCTTACTTTTTAACATGTGGACTAAAACACAAGCATTTTTATTTGGATACACAATGAAATTATAAGGACAAGGTACAAAATAACCAATGTCGAGGTCTTCCTTCTCTAAAGCTGCAGGCTCTCAGGCCTCTTCCTCTTCATCACTGTCTTTCATGGTGATGCCCTGGAGTCCTCCTCCTTCTGACACCGAGGCTGTGGTCTCCTCTACTGTTAACCGTCTGTGCACAGTGTCATAGGTCTTACTGTTCAGTGTGCCTTCCAACACACCCTGCAACCGGAAGTCCCTGTAGGTTTTCTGGAGGAGGGAGAGACAGATTGCTTAGATAACTTATGGATTATTCGTATGCGGGTATATATGGATGTCAGTTGGCATTTCAAAAATGATCTTGGAGCCCTGGCTGGTGTGGCTCAGTGGACTGAGCACGGGCCTGTGAAGCAAAGGGTCGTTGGTTCGGTTCCCAGTCAGGGCACATGCCTGGGTTGCAGGCCAGGTCCCCAGTGGGGGACACATGAGAGGCAACCACACACTGATGTTTCTCTCCCACTCTTTCTCCTTCCCTTCCCCTCTAAAAAAAATAATGATCTTGGACAATCTACTAATGGCTTCAGATTGTCAGTCATCTTATTGCTGTATTTCTGGGGAGAAAAGGAAATGAGGGACATTGGGTAGTGCTATTCAAACTAGAATCACTCTGAAAGATCAAAATGTAACCATCAGATGATAAATGAACTTTTCTCCAAAGCATTAGTAATTATACAGAACATGCTATTTGGATAACGTGTAACAAAGATAAAAATGATATGTACTTATGTATATTTTTAATGTGAAAAATTCTTAAGTTTTCCAAATGAGGAGCCCTTCCCCCTTAATACTTAAAATACATTACATTTTATAACATAAATTAGCTTTTCAGGGGAGGTGTGTAGAGGGAGTCTAATATTATCAGTAAAAGAGATTTCAATTTTCAGCACTTGTGAATTATAAAATTTGTTTATATGTGGCACTGGGTAAAATTTTGTGTGCCCCTAAATGTCTGTATGAGCTCTGCCCCCTTTCCTTCTGAAATTCCCTTGGAATGTGAATTGTTAAATTCTGGCACAGAGCTTTCATAGATGGTCTAATAAAAACATGTATGCATATTTTCTGTGAAATAGCAAATTATAATTTGGCACGTTCTATATCAGAAACAGAAGAAAGAGCCATGGTTGGTGTGGCTCAGTAGATAGATTAAGCACCGGCCTGTGAATTGAAAGGTCACCAGTTTGTTCTAGGCCAGGGCACATGCCTGGGTTGGTCAGGTCCCCAGCTGGGGGCTTGCAAGAGACAACCAATCTATGCATCTCTCAAACACTGATGTTTTTCTTTTTCTTCCCCTCTCTTTCCTTCTCTCTAAAAGTAAATAAATAAAATCTTTTAAAACTAGGAGAAATACCATGTTATTTTTTTAATGAAAAATAGAGACATTTATTGAAGATACAAGATACAAGAAACACTGTACATAGAACAATGACACCTCAAGTCCCCTTCAAAGTAGGAACTTTGCTATCTCACATAGTTTTCCCAATCACCATCAGCAGCCCCATCATATTTTCCTGAATCTCTTCTATCATCTGAAATCTCTTCCCTTTCAAAGGTGATTTTAGTCTTGGGAAAAACCAAAGTGACAGGCAAAGTGTCAAATCTGGGCGGTAGGGCTCACCTGGGTATTTTGATGTTTCACCAAAAAAGTCTGCATGGGACGTGATGCATAAATGGGTGCATTGTCTTGATGAAGCTGCTAATCACCAGTTGCCCATGGTTGCAGCCTTCTGAATCATCTGAATAGTGTCCACATAGGAATGTTCAAGCTTAACACAAAGTTTGATGCAGATTTGTTGCTCTACTTGCTCAGTCATTTTGAATGCAATGGCCACATAGTACACATGCTCACTCAATGGTGTCTACTACCTCTAGAGACTTAGTATAGTGAAGTTGTCAATGTGCATGCATGCACATTCCAGTAAATTCTTTGTGGCTTTGAGAACAGTGATTTAAGAACAAGTGAAGATTTCCATTCTGCAGAAGTATTTGTAAGGCCATTTTCAAAGCTAAATATCTTTAAATATATATATATTAAATATTTTATTTGTTTATTTTCAGAGAGAGGGGAAGGGAAGGGAAGGAGAGAGGGAGAGAAATATCAATGTGTGGTTGCCTCTCATGTGTCCCCCACTGGGAAGTAGCCTGCAACCCAGGCATGTGCCCTGACTGGGAATTGAACCACAATCCTTTGCTTCACAGGCCCACGCTGAATCCACTGAGCTACACCAGCCAGGGCTCTTTAAATATATTTTTACTGTCCTATGTTAGCTTTAGAATAGTAAGCAATCAAATTTTTCAGTGAACTGGCCCCAAAGTACTGGTACATATCAATGTGCACTGATTGCTAGTAACAGTCTTTATTTTTTTGCACTTATTAGATGAAAACAGTCAAATAAGAAGGAACATTGTACTTGATGGACCAATATTATGACTCCAATAATCTGGAAATTAATGTTAAATGATACTTGATTTCACTCAGCACAGTACAAGGAAAATATCACAATATTCCAATGGTTGAGCTAAAAGAGCTGGTTCACATGAGGTAGGAAGTGCTGATGGATGATGTCTTATCCCTTTGATCTATGCACCTGGCCTACAAACCAACCTCTGAGAAGGAGTAGACCCAGAACAAGGTAGTGGGCCCATGGGTATTTTCTTATTTTATCTTCCTGTCCTCTTGAATCTGACTTATGCCCTATGGTATCACACCAAGTTTCAGAAACGATGTGTCAAAAGTAAATATGGAGGATGAACAATGTTTTAGTTGGATAATCCGGTTATAAATAGAACTCACATTTGAAAGTCCACTGATGTTCAGAAGCAAACAGAGCGGTGAGAAACCCTGTATAGTATCTGAAGTATCTCAGCACCAAGAAAAATTTAGATGCAGGGAGTGGTTTTCTTCTTAAATAATCAAAACTACTTTCATTTAGATTGTATTTTGTTTTAAGACACATGCAGCCCACCACCCTCATATTCTCTTTCTGAGCTAGTAGGTTTCTTATTATGAAGGTAATATTATATCAAAATTCACGGTAGTTTTTATTAGAACCCGTGAAGTGACTCTGACAGGGAAGTTTTGTGTAGAGAATCTGCTAACAGATATACACGGTGTGATGACCATAGAGATCTTTGTTCAAGCCTACAAATGTCTAATGGATTAACAATGTATCCAGAGCACAAAATATTCATCCAAAGATGACCTGTCTGATATAAAGTATTATTGTCCCACTATTAGTTATATACCTAGTTAGTGAGCCCTATATTTTATTGGAATGACTTTCCTCTGACTTAGCTTAATTATCAATATGTTGGCACAGACAGATCTGTATTATAAATATGCAGTCCTTAAGGCTCTCTAATTTATATCTAATTAAGACCCCACTTTTCTTATTTTATTAGCAAGCAACAAGCAGTTAGGAGCGGGTACCCTTGCAATCTCCCTTGCCGTCTTTTTAGAGTTCCTAAGATGTTACTGACACTTGGACATCCTCTGTGGCTGCCAATGAAGGTTGCTTGGCTCCTATTTAAGGTAAGTGTCTGCCACATGGTGTTGCTGACTATCTTCTTTGCTCCTGGTATAAAAGTCAGCTGATTTTTACTAACTGTCTTTAGATGTCACATGGCCGTGAGGGAGAACACAAATCCACCATTTTGATTATTTGAGGATTGTATTTTTCCCGTTCCCAGTAAATCATTCTGATGTTAAAACTTTGCAAATAGTTTCTTAGTCCTAAATATTTTGTAAAAATCTTTTAAAAAATTATTGATTTTAGAGAAAGGAAAGGAGAGAGAGAGAGAAGTTTGTTGTTCCACTTATTGACACTTTAATTGGTTGATTTTTGTATATGCCTTGACTAGGGATCAAACCAGCAACCTTGGCATATTGGGATGACGCGCTAACCAACTGAGCTACCTGGCCAGAGCTGTTCTGTGAAAAATTTTACTAGAATTTGTTCTGTCTTAATGACAAACATGAATAAACCAATTAGTGTCTAAGGACCTTTGTGGGAGGAAGTTGGGTATCATATAAATCTAGATGGTGCTCTGCTCCCCACGGGCACAGAGGAATGACAGCGCTTATGAGTAGTACGAACTGAATGGTCAGGGTAAAGCAGCTTGGCTCCTGGGCAGAATGCCCTGCGCTGCTGTAACGGGCAGGCCACGCCCAAGTGATCTGGACAGAAGAAAGCGTAGCCAGGGGGCCTTCACAATTCTACACACATGCTGTTTAACAGCTCCTTAAATTCATTGGAAAATGATCATTGTAAACATAACCAAATAGGCTGGAAGAATGAGAAATCTATGTATGAAACTAGGTAAAGCCTATTTACATTTAAGGTAGAAAAAAACAATTAGAAAACTAAATGATTAATTCATCCTGATTTTATATCATGAAAATAATTATTTTTAATTATTAAATAAACCCCTATCACTTGATTAAATAACGTCAGCCCAAGAAAGCATTGGCTGAGCCTACTTGTGAAAAACAAAACATGGAAAGTCAAAACATATTCATGAAATTTAATTCTACAGTTATTAGTCTTGACTATTGATAGCCATAATGAAGACTGTATTAAAATTCAAATAAATTGATTGGCTTAGAGTACAATGGAAATGTCACCATAGAAATCATGAAATTATTGTTATTTTCTGCTAAAATATTCACTGATGCTTGATTTTTAACTGTAATGATGTGTGAATATGAGAAAAGGAATAATTTTCAAAGAAACAAATGGGCTAATAAAAAATGAAGATTTTTATTCTAAAAATAAAGACCTTAATCCACCAACTATTACTAGTAGGTTGAATACCTAATGTGTGATATCCTGAACACAGTAGACAGCAGCTTGAAAATATGGCTGATTATCAGGGGAACCAGCTAATCAACAGTACAGACGGCAAACTTAACAGACATATTTTTTAAAGTAAACACAGATTAACCTGATTCTCTTTTACGAAAGACAAACTTCATTTGAAAGATGTCCAAGTCATATTTATAGAAACAAGGAAGAAACAATAAAGAAATTAAGATGAATGTGAACACATCTTTTTTTTAAACTTATTTTTCCCAAGGTGGGGGTAGGATTGAGGGTGGAAGGTGGGGGTGGGTGGGGCAGGGGAAAGTGGTGGCGGGAAAATGGAGACGACTGTACTTGAACACATCTTAAAAGTGCTTTCAGTTTCTTTGTAAAATAAATAGCCCTGGTAAGAAGTGTTCTGGATCAAAGGTGTTTTGTGCAATGAAATGTAATGTGTTTGACAGCATTTAAAATTGGTGGGTGGCTAACATTTTATTGCTTATTCATAACTAATCATGACTGCTATTCCTGTGCTACTTAGATGTGGTTCTTTTCCAGATTTGCCGCCTTCTTACTTTGGAACAGAACTTTCCTATTTGTGGGTCTTTCTAATCTGTGTGAACCTGTGTGTCTATGGTACAAAAGAATTTGTATTCAACTTCCTTAATGATGTAACCATTGTTCTTAAACTTGAACGGCCATCAGAAGACCTGAAGGACTTGTTAATATGCACACTGCTGGGCCCCACTCTTAAGAGTTTTTGAGTCAGTAGGTCTGAGCTTAGACAACTTGTCAACATGTCTAACAAGTTCCCAGGTGATGTTAATCATACTAGGTCAGAAATGAAACTTGGAAAATCAATGCGTACATGTGTGCGTGCATGCATATGCACATGTACATACACATAAGTATACACATATACATAAATATATGTGCATATACACATGTACACAGATAGGCATATATAATAATTACATGCATGTATGTGTACGTGTATGTGTGTATATGTATATAGATATACATACGCACAGTGTATAGGCATTCATTTGGTAAGTGGTAGTAAAATGAAAGTACAGATCATCTGTTTAAAGGAACAACTGATTCTCAGTAGCTTAAGAGTTTTATTTTTGGCCATCAAGTAGGATTTGTCTCAATTTTAAGAAAAAGTTATCCTTGGGGTGAATTTTGTGTTTCCACTAGAATTTACAAAGCATGGAAAATCACGTTGAATTAATGTTATTTTAAAGCCTCTACTCACTAAATATTACAGGTACATTATTATCTTTTCTCTTCAACAGCCAAAGTCAAAATGGCCTTGCTGAATTGATATGACATCTGTTCGGTTTGGATGGTCCCAGCACTGAAATTGATTACCTCTCACATACAGGAAGGGGTGTGCTCCCGAAAGAATTCAGGCAGTGACCATGTATCACTTCTGAATCAAGATACAACAAAATAATGGGTATTCTCCTGATCCTATTGGAAAATACAGTTCAAAAGCCTTCATAATGATATATGATCCTAGTAAATATGGAGGAAATGTATAATGAGAAAACATTTCTATACTTAAAAAATTCACTTAAATATGCTAGGGGCTTTATGTACATTATCTTAAAATGTGATTACTTGAAAAAATATTTTTTATTTATTAGAACAAAAAAGGTAAGTTTATATTTATTTAGTAATCTAATTAGAAATGGAAATAAAAACAACACATCATTGCTAAAAGCGATGTTTAAAAAGTACTTATATCCACTCAGTTACATCAAATACAATTTTTTATGTCAATATCTTGCCATTACTCTATAGCTTGCTGGGCAATTCACATCTAAACACATTTTGTTTACCTTCACAATCTTGATGAGTGTCTTCAGTTGGTAGATATGAAGCTGAAGGTCTAATCTGTCAGTCAACCACACACAGATGACCTTCATGGAATTGCTGTACCATTGCTAGAAAGAGGGATGGGGCAAGAGGGAGGAGAAGAAAAATTAAAAAAAAAAAACCCACTCTGTATTCATTTAACAGATTCAGTAATGAGGGGGTAATGAAACACTCTGAAATGGCCACAGATCAGCACTTGAAGTCAATAATGCTATAATTTCCTGTTAACAGAATTGCATGTTTTGCTAAAAAAATCTGCTAAGTTGACTAGCCTGTTCTTTCTGTGAATTAACATTACAGTCTTTCAGCTATAACATATTCATGGGAAACAGGGTTTTTGCTGCCTGGTGGCCTGCTTTGTAATTTGTGGCTAAGAATGGGCACTAAATACCTGTTATGGGACTGAATAGGCTTCCAAACAGCAGGAAAAACAGGTAAATTATTTTCAAAGGAAAATCTGCCATCAGCCAGTATGTCACATAAAAATCCAAGAGTAGGTATGTGATGCCATAGCACATATAGTTAATGGCTAGAAATAACATTTTTAAAGAAGCAATGGCAATAATACCCACAGCTTCAATTACACATGTAACTGTTATCAATTGTTAAGTATTTGTCAAGATCTTTTCAAATATCCTGAAATAAAAATTTGATGTCTTATGCATGAACACCATCAGGATGGATTTTTGTGTCTAAGAAGAAGCACAAAACAGATGTCAGTTGACCAGATTATGAAAGGAAAAGATCTGTTTCATTTTGCAAGTGTTTCGGGATGGTTCATTTTTCTCTGCCTATCCCAACTCTCAAGGGGAAACTGAAATTCTTCTTTAATCTAATCTCTTCTTCATGTATAATTTCTGTGAGTATAGCAAGAGGAGGAAATTTGTTCCTATTTTCAAAAAAAGGCAATCTGCCATTAGTGGTGATATTTTAAGAGAGGCAATGACCACTATGTGCCAGAGCTCGATTTAGGGGACACTGTAAGAACATCCTACTCATTCATTCAGATAACCATGAGAAATATCCAAGTCCACTCAGAGCTTAGGAAATGACAAGGGTTTTTGAAAGATAGGACATTGTCTACCTTGTTTGTATCCACAAACATAGTGACACTACAGATGACATGTGCACGCCCATGTTTTCAGGTATTTGAACATAAAAAAATCTTAAATATCTTTCTTCACATAATAAAACAGTAAATTCAACTTCTCAGCAAAATCTTAAGGGACACAAATAAGTCTGAAATTCATCGGGACCTGTACTAACATTGTCCTAATAAAATTTAGTACAAGAAATTGTATTTTAAGCATACATTAAAAATAAAATAGGTTTCGTATGCATTGGGCTTATTTCTATTAATTTGTTAGTACACTGAACATACATATATGAAATAAGCTAAGTAAAATGAAGTACTGATTTACTACACACTATGATATCAAATGGACGAATGAACATGTCAAGTTTTATAATGGTGAGATAAAGGACCCATGGACAAAGACAACGGTGGGGGCGGATTGTGGGGGGGGGATTGAAAGCTGGAGGTGAGGGTTGGGTCAGACACGGGAGAGTAATGGGGTGAAAACGGGGCAACTGTAATTGAACAACAATAAGAAAATTTTTTTAAAAGTTGACATGGATGGTGATTTAAAAAAATATGTTATTTATGTACCCAATTTTGCACTTTCCTAATGATTACATTAATAACTTTTAGGACATGTAAAAGTATCAAAAATGAGTTTTATAAAATGAGATAAATTCCTAAATTCTAAAAAAAATGCTGATGAATTCAGTACTTCATCTGACATACTGTTTCTCCAAATCTTTTATAGATAATCATTTTATTTCTGGTGTCATTTAAATTCTATGCTTCGTTATTTTAAACTACATATAGCCCCAACTTCTTGAGTACTGTTTTAATACCTGTAAACCTTCACAGGCATCGGTGATACTGAACACGGGTTCACTGAAATAAGACCCTCACCCTACTCTACTCTCCACATAACCCAAAAGCTAAAATGTAGTCATTATAATTTCAGAGTCATATAGTTCTTAAATTATAGTCCTTCGGCAGCGGATAAGGAATTTTTCTTTTTTGTTGGGGGGGAAAATGTGATAAATTGTATGAAGTCTAGCATAACATACTAGTTAATCAGTCTGACTGTAAAGTTACTATAAAAATGATAAATTGTGTGAGTTTGAAGGAAATGAAAATACTTTCTTAAAATAACTCTATATGTAATTTTATCTTTTAAAAATCCTTGCATAATTTAAAATTAATTTAACTTTATTTTTATTACATATAAATAATGTTATGATTAAGCGATAATCAAAAAGATATCTAATGTAACAAATACAGGTATTATTAATGTGATAATTTCTTTAATACAAAATGCCAAAATTACATTTTAGAGAAAATTGATTTTGAAATAAAATGATCCAAAAGTAACAAAAAAATACAGAAAGAAGAGAACTATTGCTTAAGCTACTTCACTATCATTTTACTTTCAGGGCAAATTGTTCTAAAAGGAAAACTTTATAAGAAAAACTATTGTATCTGATAGAATGCATAGTTTTGGGTTCCCATGTCACAGCCTTTTGAAGAGCTTCAGCTAAATCAAGCAAGTGAAGAGAAAGCAGTTGCTTAGCTCAGAGTTTATGTTGCTACTAAGAATAAGCTAACAAAAATAGCCCCCACTAGAACTGCTTATTTTTTGTATATAATGAAATACACACATACCCTCACCCAAACAAACAAGCACACAAACAAAACCACCAAGCAAATCTCTGGCACTTCCCTATTTCTGGAGCTGGAATTGGTATATTTCTGTTTCCAGTGCTGAAGTATGTGTACATCTCGTTTTTCCATCTTGAGAAAAAAAGTGAAAGGGCCCATGGCTTCAGTCCCCTCATTCTGGTCCACCCCGCCCCACAGGGAAGCAAACCAACTTCCCAAAACAAAGGGAAGAAATACATTAAAAAAGGATGAATGTGCAGTAAAGTCTGAATGTTAGAAAATGTCCTTTCATTTTGTAAAAGTTAATTTCATAAAAGAATTTAGTTGACTATTCACTTTTCCCTTCAGGGGTCGACAAGGAAGGGGTGCTGTGGCTTACCCTGGGGTTAAAGGTGTAGCATTATTGCTTTATTCTTTGCTTTGGAATAAAGCAGTAAATGCATGTTCTACTTTTTTTCCTACAGCAATCCATGACAGCAGCCTATCACTTTAACAAAAAATAGTTGTTTTTTTTTCTTTTTGTGGTTCATTCAACTTCCTGTAAGGGCATGTATTACTCACTTCATTTTCTTGAGATATCTCTTTTAAAGCAGAAATAAAGGAAAAGGAAAGGCTTGGGTTGACTCTGCGAGACCCCTGTATTTATTCACACTTATTGTGCATGACTGTAGACTGGTAAATCATATTAGCAGCGCGTCTCCCCATCAAGCTGCTACTTGCTTTCCAGCCCTGGGAAGGTTCAACAAATCAACAGGAGCACGGAAAACAGGACATCAGTCTAATCTAGTGTTTAAGGTGAAGTTTTCAAACCCAATCTAAGAAGATCTTTAGAGCAAGCAACAAGCTGAAGGGCTCAGAAGGTGGTATTGACAATGAAAGAGTGGTGAAATATTGAGAAGCGCAGCACTTGTGCATTTTTAATAACAAGAGGGTCAACAAGGACACAGCTCCCTCAGTGCCAGGAGTTGCCACTGACTATGGAAATTGCCACACCAGGGCTATAAACGCTTGCAGTTCATCAGCTTTCTTAAACACCCTGAACCCCCTCAGCGGACCTTTAGTCTTGAATTAACAAACCAAAGCAATGAAACAGGGTGCAGTCTGAATGGCTGGCATTGATCCCCAACTGTGTCAGCACTGCTACAGGCACTGAAAAACTCTCCCCATTGTCAATAGAAATTGACAAACCTCCTCTCCTAAATAGTGCAGCTGAGCCGGGCGGGATCCTTGCAGCTGTAAAGGGCTCTGCTCTTGGGGCCGGGGAGCACTAACAATGGAACAAGCATGAGCTCTTTGTCAGCCCCAGACTCTGCAATTTTCTAACAAGGATTAAAGTTGTTTCTCTGCAGCGCTGGTGAAAAGAGATTTAGCAACATACCGTGCTTTCTTCATGCAAGTTAAAGAGAAGTAGTTAAGGAATTTCATTATTCTGTCAACTAATGGAAATACAAAACAAATATATTAAATATGCACAAGTTCCTTTTTTGCTAATTTATAACATTTTTGAGGATGATTCAATGAAATATAATGCATATTGCCTGGAAACAAGCACTTCCCATTTATTTTGGAAGTTTTATTTTTAAAAAGTCCAGCTGCTTGCCACCTGGAATGAGGTCTCAATACATGCTAATGCACAATGCCTTTAGGCCTTCTGTGGCTGATATTCCTAAATCTGAATCACAAGACCACATAGGGCTTATATTTTGCGGCTGCTTCAAGTAAATGATTTCTGTCAGAATGTGGCTTCTGATGATGATGGCAGGTAAAAACAGTTGGTTTGCTAGGGAACAAATCTGTGACATATTTTCTGCTTAAATGTTTAGCTTTTTATTGATTATGAATTGGTAAAACTAGATAATATTATTTTCACTCTTCTCCAGCTATGCTCGTCTCAATGGGTGAACAACAGAAAAAAAAAGAAGCAACACTTTTTAGTGCACTAAGCTATGGAATGGCTAAATTTCCCTAGTATGTACATATTTATTCACTTATTTCAAGAGAATCTATTTTACAAGAACTGAGTCACTGTGTTGAAATACAATCTAGAAAATTTCACCTTAGAAAATATATTCCTTTTTAATGCTAAGTTGAATGAAAAAACAGCATGTTTTTGAAATATTGAAGGTTTTGATGAGTTTGATAAATATAAATCATCCCCAGGATCTTTTGGTAGCTTTAGAGAGCAACAAAATACTCAGAAATGTTAACATCTGACACTTTCACCCGTATTTTAAAAAGTAAATAGAAATGCTTCATTGTACACCGGGTGTTCCTTTTGTCAGCAGTTCATCTGCTCAATATAACTACATTTTTGGCCACCCCATTTCTAAATATTAAAATGCATATATTATATTAATGGCAAATTCGATACAGTAATACCAATATTTGCTCCCTCTGTTCACAGCATCCCACTAAGATGATCATATTTACTTTATCAAAGCATAGCATTTTAAAGTTTTAAGTGTGAATTTTTTATTGGCTTGCAATAAGAGTGAAGGCTATATTTGAGAAAAACTTAAATCAGTTTATTATGGTTAAAAATGCAGGAAGTGCTCAACCCAGCCTGCACTTAGCCACAGTCTCAGCGAGCCCCAGAGCCAGTCGGGGAGGGAGGACGGAGCCCGCGCCTCCCAGGGAGGCTGTGGGCGGGCTGTGTCTGGGGCAGGCTGCGTCTGCACCAGGCTGCGAGAATCAGACGGGAGCTGGAAGGTCAGGAGTGCCGTGCCCTGTGTTGCCACCCTCTGCTTGACTGAGCCTGCCACTTGCTTTCTCTATGCCTCAGTTTTCTCATCTGTAATATGAAGAATAAATTTGTATGAATCTAGCTTTAAAATAATATGCTTTGGATAATTTCCAGAAATGCTGTGAGGTTATAAAGGACTGTCAGAGTAGAGAACATGATTAGAAACAATACAGCCGGTGATTCTTATAAAAATTAACTGAGGGAAAAAGCCAAAGTGCCACACTCTTTCTTTTCATATGCAGCTTACATAGAGCTTTATTCTTCCCAAAAATGCAAGCTCAGAGTTCCAGAACTTTGTATCACCTGTTATTTTATTCGTTTTCAACTCACTCATTTTGGCCTTTTAATGAAGTAAGTACTGGCACATAAAAATTAAACAAAGTGTAATGAGGGATGAATATAGTTTATGAAGAACTGTCAGATACAGTTTTTCTTATGACTATTACCTTTATGAATTAGAATTATAATAGCATCTGATATATTTTCCTTAATTTTCTATGGGTAGTTCAAGTGCATCAGTTAAAATTTCATTTAATTTGTACAACAATCTTGATGGATGGCTATTATCATTCCCATTTTGCACATGGAAACTGAACTTACACGTAGAAGTGAGTTTAGATTAAGCAATTTATCCATGCTTATATAACAAGGATAAGTAGCAGGATTAAGATTTTTATCTTTTATCTAAAGTCCAGAGTCTGTGCTCCTGACTGCTAGGCTATTCCATTTCTTTCTGATAAACAGTTTATTCTGATTCTTTTAAGGGTAGTTTGATGCTCCCAGCATACAACTAAGGAAGAACACAACTCTATCGTTCCTGGTGGCTCGTTAGTCATTCTAACACTAGATTGTGAAGTCATAGAGAAGATATTTATCACTTCAAAGAAGTCACTACATTTTCTCACTAGTTAATGCAATCCATATTTCCAAAGATATTTGTAAACCCAATAATATAATATATAATGTGATAAACTCTTTCATGAACCATACTCTCTGTTACGACAACCAACCAAACGGCTCTCGTGCTAGGCATCTCCATGTGCCCCTGAAGACTTTTTAAAGTGCTATACACTGAAATGCTTGGGAATTAACAGAAAGATTTTTTTTTTTCTGTAACAATACAAGGCAATGTCCTTGTGAATACAAGTACAAAGGTCCTTGGTTCATTCACAAGGGGAATTCAATCTATATTTGTAGCTTTTTTCTTTTTTTTAAACACAGAATAGAGAAGTATTTGATTCATTTCTCTTTTCTTCCTTGTCAAATAACCTCACATTCAGGGTGATCTGCATCTTTAAAAACTCTACCAGGAAGCCTGTAAAGAAGAGTTCATGAACACTATGATGTCTGTTAAGAAAGGGGGATGTAAAAAGAGCTACCATGGGAGGTTTGCTTACAGTAGCTACCTAACAAATTCTTGTTAAATGCAGAAAAACTTTCCTGCTCTTGAAGTTCAATACTCCCCCCCCATACTTTCCCTTTTAAGAATGTCTCAATGTAATAACCAAGATATTTCCAGATGAATTAGACCTTTTTCTGTTACAAAACAGAGGAAGTTACAGAACAAGGTAAGTTCCATAATTTGGAAATCACACAAGCTTTTTTCTACTCACTAGTACCCCATGAATCCAAAACTTCCTTTATTCCAAAATATCCTGATAGTGATGTCATTACACTAGCCTACCTTTCTCCACACTACGAGAGGGTTAAAAGCAATACTGTTCTTTAGTATTCATTATTATCAAGCAGGGAAGTACTTCTGTTCATTTATTCTGCCCTTCTTTTCCTGACACTAAAAAGACTAGTGATTAAAAAGTGAAAATTTCAGATAATCATTTGTTATCAAATGATTGGATGCACACTAGTTTGATGAATCTTTGAACTAACATGAACTTAAGGGTCAGTCCAGTTACCTGGTGTATGCACCAGTGTGGGGCACTGACATAGTCTGGGAGTAGTTCATTTGGGCACCATGACCTTTGCATATGGCAAATGACTCGTTTTGACTACTGTAGATACAATTTTGGTCATTACTGCACTTAATTCAATAATGTAGGCTCTCTTTGTAAAAATATAAAGCAGACTCCAGAACTGAGACCGAACAGCACAAGTTTGTTTTAAGATAAACCTAGGTCTGAGAATTGACTTACTAGCAGGTCTCTCTGCTCCAGTCTTATAGAAAATGAGGAACAATGTTTCCAAAATTAGTTTTCAAGAGTGCTGCAAAAACTGAGTAAATAGCCACCTCTCTAACTTGGTGCACTCCCACGGGAACCGTTTTTGGCAAATGGAACAGCCTGCTGCTCTGCCAGGTGCTGGGCTGCTCTAAATCCGTGGTTGCTCCGCCTGTCCCTCCATCTCGACTTTTATGCCCAGGTATGTTTCCCTGGCCAGATCCATGCCAACCTTTAAGACTCAGTTCACCATTATTTCTGCTATAAAGCCAACAGTGTCTCTCACTTGGTGGAATTCGATGCTCCCAAGTTTCCTGCTCCTAGAACTCTGTACTGCTGTCTCTACACATTGCACAGTGAGCTGTATGTCTGCTGCAATGGGCTGTTGGTATCCACAGCAGCAACCAGTCTTATTTTTATGGATACCTCTAGCCCTTAGCAGAATGTCAGGCACACAGCACGCACTGCATATTTGTTGAAGGACTGAGCACTTTTAAACATCTGGAAATATAAAGCACTACATATGTAACAGTCACAGGGCAGCTTTCCAATAGCAAAAGGACAGAACATCAGAATTGCCTTAAATCATGTTTCATTTATAGAAAAGTAATTTAATAGATGTTAAAGCTGTAGAAATCACTAAAAATAAGCCACTGGATTGGACTACAGAAATTTAACGCAGGACAAAAACAGAGCTTTAAAGGTGCCAGTCTACTGGGTGAGAAGAGCAGATTGGACTCTTCTCATTTGTGCACCTCACTCTGCTTCCTCCGCAACCATGTCTGACAAACCTGATGTGACCAAGATTGAGAAATCTGTTAAATCAAAATTGAAGGGGACAGAAACACAAGAGAAAAATCCACTACCTTCCAAAGAAACGACTGAACAGGAGAAGCAAGCAGGTGAATTGTGATGAGGGCCGCGCCGCCAGTATGCACTGTACATTCCACAAACACTGGCTTCTTATTTTACTTCTTTTAGCTGTTTAATTTTGTAAGATGCAAAGAAGTTGGGTCAGTTTAAAGGACTGTGCAGCCCCTTTTCACATTAGAACTTCTGACAATGAAGGCCGCACCTGCTCCTCCCATCGCCTGTCTGGTTGGCAGGGAAGGAGAAGAACTTGTATGTTGGTGAAGGAAGAAGCTGGGTGGGAGGACCATGAAATCTAGAGTAAAACCAAGCTGGTCCAAGGTGTCCTGCAGGCTGGAAAATGTGGCTTAATCAGAATGCCATTTCTTTTTGTTAAAATAATTTTAATTATTGGAATGCACAATTTTTAAATATGCAAATGAAAAGTTCTAAGGGCTGAAAAAATAAAGGTGACAGTCTCAATTTCATTTAGGTGACCAATTAAATAAAGGAGAAAGTATTGCCACTAACAACCCTGTTGTCTATGACCGCGATGGGTGTCACCATGTATACGCTTCCCCACAGCAATCTGATGACACTGCATGCTCGGACGGCGGCGTGCTCGGCTCTGGACTGACCTCCAGGGTCTGCCACACAGGCTGGGAGCTGCCTCTCCAGCAGGTGCTCAGCATACAGGTGGCTACTCCTGGGGGTTATCTGGGCCCTGGGGCATGGCTAGAGTATGGCTGGCTGTGCTCCCTGTGCATGTTTTCCTTTCTTGGATGTGTCCTGGGTGTCTTCTAATGTGCTGGCTTATGAACTGTTCTGTCAAAAGGGCAGAAAATTATCATTGCAGTATCACTGTTGACTCCGGTCTAAGGGAACATTACACCTCTTCTGGGAGCTGGTGCGTGCTTGGCTTTTGAGCAAAGAACCCCTGAAGGGTAGAGAGGGGAGGGTGTGCCTGTGTCTCAGAGTCCTGTCACCTGATACTGTGCACACTGGAGCTAGGCACAAACTCTGTGCTGGCCCTAGCTTTTGGCAAGTGTTTGACCAACCACATGCAATGGAGAGAAATAAACTAACAAACACATTTCATAGGTAATCACTATTACCTGTTTTGAAAGGGTACTGCATTTTAGTTCTCCATAGCACATCCACTCAAAAAAATCTGTTTATACCTACTTTCTAGATGAAATATTTTAATATGGAAATTGACAACTTCTTCCAAAGACCCATCTGGTCATAAGAATGTAAGCTCCCTTAGGGCAGGGATGCTGTCTATCTCATTTTACATTGTATCCTCAGCTTATAGAACAGTATGTGGTCTGCAGAAAATGTCCAATAAGAGCTCATGGGATGAGTAAATGATGAGCAGTAAGAGGAGCTTCAATTTCCCATTTTAATTCGAATCCTACTGAGGCACTGTGATAGTGATATCCAATATGTGGGACAAAGCCAGTGCTTGACCTTTTAATCCCGACACCCCCCATTCCTGACACACAGTGACTGGATGGCAAATTAGATTTGTTTTCTAGACCTCATGCGTCCGAAACATGGACTGAGTGAACATTCTACATTAATAATTATATCCATTATAAACCTATAAAACAGGCAGTAAGTGAGGGGAAAGTCAACAAGAAGACCTATGGACAATACACAGAACCACATTTATGAGGCAGACCAACAGTATGAGGCAGTTATGTATTTGAATGCATAAACAGTGATGGCTGGAAAGAATCTTGTTCAGCCACATTCAAATACTGTATCCTATTCCTGATTCTAAACCCTACACATGACAGAGACCACTTTGAGACGTTTCAAAGAATAGCCACAAAGATGATTAAAGGGCTAGAAAGAGGGCCTGTGAAGAGAAGTTAAACAAATAGGGATTATTTGTCCTGGAGTAGACAAGTATGACAGGGGCCTAATGACAGTCTTCACGTGTAGGACAGAGTATTCCCCAGAGGCTGCTGGGTACCTGCTTTTGGTTCTCTACTGAAAAGAAAAGGGGAAAAGGGCTTTAAAAAAGCATGAAGAACTTAGGTGAGGCAGGAGTTAGAACTTTCTTTATTTCAAACAAAATGTTTTGCCCCGATTAAGACGGCAATATTTAGATGGTCATTTATCTAGGGCTGAACTGAGATCAAGAAATTGAGGTCTCTGTCTCAAGTTCAGGTGTTTACAAATATTTTGAAAATTTTCTTTTATAATTTCCTTTCACTGCATTTGACAAGCACTTTGAATGATGGTTTTACCACGGTAGCTGCTTCCTTCCACAGATGTTTTTTTAGTTGACTTAGTCAGTAGTGGTGATCTGGCTGCCACTATGGTTTCCACTTGTGAATGGTGATGCAGGGTGGGCTTGCAGGACAAAGTGGGGTGCCCAACAGGGGAATTTCAAAAAGCCCCAACAGAAAGTAGCCTTCAAGCCATGTGTCCTTTGCTTATGAAGTTAGGTGTGAGGAGGAGGAGAGTAGTAGCTCTCAGTTCTTTGAAAACATCACACTAGTCAACTGATAGAGATGCTGGCCCCAGGGGAGGCCGGGGTATTTCCCCTGAGTCTCTGTGGCCAGTCACAGTGCAAGCATGCAGAGTCACCACGGAAATACCAGGCCCTGTACGGGGAGGCTGGAGTTTCCAGACCATCTTAAATGTGATAGCAGCAGGAATCAACACTAAGTGACTTCTGAAATGCTCTATTTGTGTCTTGTAATAACTTCAACTATTATAACATCAGTAGAGAAAACATTCTAATTTTTTCAGTGACTACTAAGTCTCTGTTATTGGATGAGGGAATGGATGCGAATGTATACCTAATGCATTTGGTGTTCAGAAAAATATCTGGGTGAAAATAAAAGTTTTGCCACCTCCCATTCATCAGAGACAATTTTACCATTGCTATTGCTAAGAGGGTTTAGGTGACCAACAATAATTTTTTCCTTTTCAAAGAGAAATCTCAGATCAGTTCGAATGTGAGCTGTTTTTCTAATCTTGAGCACCATTAAAGGTGAATTAAGGCTTGGTGGAAATCTAAAGAGCATCAGTAAATCTGAGCACTGCTCAGCTTTTGAATTGCTTTTCTTCTCCTCAGTTCTTTTAAATGGTTTTCTATGGCAGGAACATTTTTCTTAATTAGTCACAGCTAATTAGTGTTCTGGCATAGACAAGTAATCAGAAATGTCAGAGCTGCAAGGCTACATCTCCCTAATCCTTTGATAATAATTTAGCCTCCTGGGAGGGCCCCAAGCTGCGGTAAGTAGTGACTGACAATAAGGCAAAATTAGGTGGGCAGCAGACCATTAGGATAGAAAAATAAAAAGCACTACCCAATCCTGCTGAGCACCATCAGGCAACTAACTGCACTGCCAGATGAGGTGCCTGTTTAAGCCTGTGTTGTTAATTAGCTGATTCTACCAGACCTGCCGCATATGTCCAGGTGCCTCATGCAAAGATGGGTATTTCTGGGAATGTGCCAAATGACAATTGTGGTTCATGATCACATTTCAAGAATATAAGTAAGAAGTCCACATATTTCTTGAAGATTCTTTTGAATTATCAAAGAAATAAGATCAACAAGCTACGATGCATTTTCTTGCTGAGTTTCTTTTAGGCAATTAGGTACGCTTCTCTCAAGTTTCTCAGGTTCTAATTCACCAACAGCTTCGGTTCAGATGAGGGCCTCTGCCTGCTCTGAGTTGGTCTGGGCTTGCCCAAGCCGTTTTGGCACACACCATACATCAAAACAGATCCTTTTTAAAAATAAATTCTTACACTTACATATAATAACTTAACATTAAAATAAGAATTATTAACTAAAATGAACCAGACAGCTGTAATTTGAGAGCAGAGATTTGAAAGCAAAAGGAACTCTGAGGGGAAAAAACAGCTAAGGAGCAAGCTCTGTGTGGCATTTACTGAGGCAGACAAGACAAATACCCAACAAGTGTGACTGAGACTATTAAAAGAGGTCACACAACTGCAATTTGAGTACAGATTCTATAGGTAAAACAAAACAGGAATATATACAGTTAAAAGCAAAACAAAACAATGTGTTAAAGCAGCCCCACACAGTGTTGAAACATCTGAGGTGTGAAATGCATGAAATGCTGTTCCTAGAACACAGATATGGAACAGAGTCAAACTTTTTATCTAACTGGAGTACACAGTGAGGGGCCAGGGCAACATAACATGTTTAGAAATAAGTGATCTCAAATAGCCTCAAGTACGTCTCTGAACTTATGTCACCCACCTTTCTATTGCTAGAAAAGAAAAATGAAACTGACGACATGCAAGTGATATTAATGTGTAATTGTGAATACTGACAAGGAAATCATGATTGGACATGATGGGCCCACGGTGAATGTTTCATACTTGAATTCTTTTTATATAGAGGCCAAACCCCAAAGAAAATACTCCCAAGTGGGATTATATACTAACTTATGCCGTCTATGTAAAAACTTACATACATTTTAGAGTGAAAGATCATTGAAAAGAGGAAAATGGCTATGTTTAAATCAACATTCAAATACAAAAGAATAGATCGATAATATCATAGAATTTACAAATGCAAGAAGGCAAAGAGGTTTTTAATCTTAATGTGATTTAGCCTGTCTTCCTAATAAAGAGGCTACTTACATACACAAAGAAATCCATTCAAAGAATATTACTGAGAAAGTAGATGGTCAGTTCAAAATACACGCACTGAGGGTGCTATAGAAAATAGGGTTCTTACCCATGTTCTGCAGGCTTCACCTCTTCCTGGAAAATCAACATGACAATACACTGAATCTTTAAATAACTTAAGAATCGGAATCTTACTGAGGATGAATACATTCTCAAATTAAAAATTTGAGCATTGGTGTGAAACACTAAACTCAAAAATTCCGAGCATTTTCCCCTTTTCTTATTTGGATGTACAGAGATAAACAAGAGCGCAGAAGTGCAAAATTAGTTTTTTTGAGAAGCACGTTTACCTGTAATAACCCCCCCCCCGTCCCCCAACTCACTTACGTAGTTGGCTACTGAACTCACTTACTTAATTGAGGTCAATTTTACTTGAAATGTTTAATTTAAATTTTCTTTACTGAATTCTTTTCAAGGAAAATCCTAAGAAATTAATCTGTATGAAACACTATTCGGATGAATGTAACTATTAACCATCATTTAAAGAATTATTTTTAATTATACAAGGTATTGTAACAGTATTTTTTAAAAATAGAGTTGAGATGAAACTCCTCAACAATTAAATACTTAATCAGTTTATAACACAAGAGAATGTTTAATCTGCATGATTTGCCAATTAAATGCTGCACCCTGATGTGTCTGCAGCAACACGAGAGCTAAAATGAAATGGTTTCAAAGGGGCTCAAGGTAGGAAACAACTAATAAATGTACAAAGTTTACAGGGGCAGGTTTGGTGCACTTTAGTCAAACCCTCGGTTTCGTAATGTTCTAGGACATTAGCAAATGACCGCAGAGGATACTCTTGTGGCAATGACTGTAGATGCCAATTTTGTCTTGTACACTAGTGCTGCCACTTCCCAACGAGATCCAAAGCCTGCAGGGAACGTTACCAGCCTCTCTCCTGACTCAAGGGCGCCTTGAGTGGCTGACTCTGTGTCCTGGCACCAGAGAGTGGGGAGAACACTAGAGTAGGCATTAAGGAAGGGATTTCAGAATTAGAAAAGCTTTGCCATACTTTCATATTGGGGTTAGACAAGTTGTAGGTGATTTTGATATGATAAAAACTGTAAAAACACTGTGGGCAACGACATTTTACATGAGAAGAACAAGGACCCCGGGGTACCAGAGATGGCCCACGGAGCCGAAAAACCATACAGTGAATCAGTGACCTCCTCACACAGGAAAGCTTCCTTTAAGAAGATGCACTTTTTTAAACTGAAAAAGGAACTTTAATCTGTAGATTTGAAACTCAGCATGTATACCAATGACTAGAGAGAGGCACAGACGGTCTCTGATTAACATATTTTGTTCATTCAGAAAATATAGCATGAATACAGAATATATGAGTTTCAACTGTTTTTTCAAATTTGGGGTTCAGAACTATGGTGGTAGATACATAGAAAATGTCACATGGCATGGATATTCTTTTATATAGAATCTCTTTTCTACCTTCTTATCCACTGAACTTGCTATTGCTTCTTGTGTGGCGTACCCTTCTTTCCCCTGGTCATCACGGAAAAACTTAAGGATTGCTACTCTGTTGTATAACACTCAGCATGCGACCAGCTGGTAATTTCAGCCATTGTGAAAATTAGACTAATTTAATTTAGGTGGTTTAAAATATGGAAAGGATTTCATAAACTCCTTGGAGTTTTGGACCAACCCTTTTCAGTTTATGTGTACTAACTATACTGCACCGTACCCAGGGGACATTAACTTCTTTAAACTCACTCAAACAATTAATGGCAGAACTGGCTAAAATGTAGGTTTCTGAATTTCTGGCCTAGCCCTCTTTCCACAATGCTTTACCATTTAAATTTTGTAAGTATGGACAATGATAGAGATAGCATGGACTTTGAATCTAGATAGATGCAATTTCAAAGTCTGATTCAACACTTAAGTCACTTATCTTCTGTGAATGGGAGATTCCTTAAACTGAACATGGGGATGAAATGAGGATGGTGGCATCTAGCCTACAAGGTTAGAAATGACATAGGTGAAGCACCTAGCACATGTACATGGAGGTACCCCAGGAATGGTAGGGGTGATAGCTAAGGCTTTTATTACATTTTTTGATAACTTGGAAAGATTAGTGATGTATTGGGGTGTCCAAAAAGTTCATTTAGTTCTTTCTGTATGGTGGCTCTAGTAGTGCTTAGTTGTCTTTAACGTTATTTAAAATAATTTTGTTAGATCGTATTGTGACAGCTGTCATAACAGTGTGCATTAAGAAAACATCAAAATTGGTGAATTTTTGTGCAGCTATTTTAATATTGAAGATGGAAGCAGATATGCAACATTTTCAGTATATTATGTTTTGTTATTTCAAGAAAGGTAAAAATGCAACTGAAACTAAAAAAAAGATTTGTGCAGTGTATGGAGCAGGTGCTGTGACTGATTGAATGTGTCAAAAGTGGTTTGCGAAGTTTCTTGGTACTACTGATATTTGGTCAAATACTTCTTTGCTGTGGGGTTGTCTTATGCATTGGAAGATGTTTAGCAGCATCCCTGGCCTCTACCCACTGGAAACCAAAAGCAGGAGATAGCCGACATACTCAAAACATCCAAATCAATGAAGTTATTGGTGAAAATGAAATATGTGTCTTTTCTTTTATGGAAAAAACTAAAGGGACTCTTTCTGCTGACCCAATACCTTAAATAAAGCCGGTTCCTTCTATTAACAGTATCAGTCCGCATCACTTATTTACACTTTTTTGAAGTTATTTTTGTTTCCAGTAAAAGTTTGTAAGCTTAACCACATATGGAGTGAAGTAGGGTGTCTTGAGATTTGTCCTATTACTAACTTTTTTGATCTTAAAGGACACTTGCAGTTGTAGTATGTCAGGAGTTGGCGTGTATGTGCGGTGCACACACACATGGACTCATCGTCCTCTGCATCAAAGTCAGGGGGCTGCACTGCCTCACATAGTCAGAAAGAACTTCAGTTAGAATTGCAAAAGTTTGTCCTGATGCCTGAATAAAACTGTCCTCTTCACTCTTTTATCTGCAATAAACTAAGGGTGCTAACAGTTTATAGGGTCATTATTTTCCACATTTTTTGACACCTAACAATATTATTTTAAGCTCTAGCCAAGCAGATTTCCAATAATTATATAATGTCTCTCAGTAATGATCTGTTGCTTAAGATACACACTGTACATTACCTTTCAACACATACTTGATAACCTCTCATTTATTAACTGTAATTGAGGCAAATTCAGTCATGGCTAATTAGGGACTCTTAGTACCCCCTCATACATGTTATTCTTGATGACATATCAATAGAATTAGTCTACTTTTTATTTTTAATTACAGTAATAAAAATGTAAAACTTAAAAATATTAGAATACTTAAGGACATTGTAACCATTTTACAAATAACAAGTCTGATGTTCTACTGGGGATATGCAAAATGACAAAACTTTCGTGAATAAGTGGAATGGTTTCTGTCAAGGGCTCCCTTTAGAAGTGAATCCACAGACACGTCAGGGGTTTGGGCATCGGAAGGAAAGTGCATATAAACCAGGACAATTAAACTGGCACCTCACTTACTGTTGGCCTCCCTGCACCCACCTGTTAGCATCGGTTGTTACTGTTACCACACAAAAGTCTTCAAAGAAGTTTGGTGAATAAAGTGGAATTGAAGTGGGGACTATCTTTATAGAGAATAAATTCTACCTCTGTTATGAATGATAGAAAGCTTTGCGATAGATAGGTCACCGAGACAAAAAGTTGAAGATGTTAAGAAAGCACTCACACACGTCTATGTATAATGATCTATTTCCAGAATGGCTCTACCTTCCTTCGCCATAGAACACGTGCTTTCTCTATACTAAAAAGAAACATAATGGGAATAACATCAATTCAATGTTCCTTCTCTGTTCAACATTTTTGAAAATTACCACATAAGCAAAAAAAAAGCAAGAGAAATTAGAAGTGAAACATATGTTGGTAAATTCAAATCAATACCAAATGAAAGCAGAAGTTGCTAATATGGTTTCAGTATTTTGTAAAAGAGCCAGCTGGATGGATGGTAATTTTTGTACCCCCGCAGGGCATCAAAGCTTTAGGAAATCATTCTTTCACACATATTAACACTTAGCTTATTAAAACAGATGATACTTTTATTGTAAAACAGCCTGGGTAGAGGCTAGAAATCTGAAGTAGGAAAGGTAAACCTCACTCTGACCACCCAGTCTGACAGACAAGGGAGCCCTGCCATGACAGACCACGGCAGAGATGATGACGTAGCAGGACCTTCTGTAACTGTCACAGCTGCAGTGTCACCATGAAGCCCGTGAATTGTTGTTGTGAAAACATTTGCAGGAACTTGCATAATTAAATTAAACTGCCAGAAAAGCACTTCTAAAATGCAGAGATGTACATAAATACAGTTCAAAACAAATATTACATTTCGGAAACAGCCTTGTGGTGAATTATGCAGTTATGTCACAAGCAAAGTACCACTTCCTTTGAACTGACTGTTAATAACTACAAACGAATGACTAATTGTTACTGAAATCCAGGGGTGCTCTCTCAGTCTCCTTTACAGACACCCAGGAAATGATCTGCTGATCCCGGCACCTAAAATCATAGTCCCCCACTTCTAGGAGTTGCTATACCTAAATGAAGACTTTCATACTAACGAATCTGCAGTATTATATGTTAGCATACATGAGTACTGTAAATTAAGAGAAAGATGGTCAATAACAGCAGAGTGGCAGATATTTGGCTTTAGTGCAGCTGATTTCTTTATTTAACAGAATATTTTACTTAAGAAACTTACAGTAGGGACCCATCCATTACAATCAGATTCTGTTTATGACATGCTACAGAGGCAAGTGAGATGATGCTGTACACAGTTGTAAACTGATTATCATCTTGCTTGTTAAAATTAACCTTAGAAGGTTTTTGAGACTCTCATTCTAACAGTGACAGTTTCTATGTACAAAGAGAAGCCAATTAAGGCTTCTGTCAGCAGTCAAAGAAATAAAGCTATCAACTATAATAGCTGCGTAGAAGAGAAAGAATCAACAAAGGAGAGTCTGCTCTGCAAACTCATCAGAACGTAACTGTTTCCTTCACAGTCCCTGGAATGCCAGCACACCTGGCAGAGCAGCTACTTACATCGAACAGCTTTTCTATATACATTTCTTCATTGACCTTTTCTCGAAGGATGTCCTGATTTTGCCGAACAAACATAATGTAGGTGTCTGCCAGGTCCATCCCTGGTTTCTGTCATGGGGAGAAAATAATATTAGATCTTCAGCATGAACATACTTATCAGAACTCCGGAAAACCACTCACTATATCATTTCAAAAACTGCACTGGAAAAATATGCTAAAGCCCAGATCAACAATAAGGACCTTCAGTAAATTCCATAATTAAAGGAAATAAAAGTTTATCACTGATGTCAATCACTTGAGGTCACAGTTTCTCATCATTATTAAAATTATTAGAAATATGTGGTTGTTATGCAATATCCTTTTTTTAAGTGGCTATCCTGACAGGTCGATATGCCAAGCAGTACATGAATGAATTTTTCAAAAAATTTCTACATGCAATAATCATTTCCTAATTGCAAAAACAATTTGCTTTCCATTGTGTCTAGCAGGTTTATCTATATATATATTAAAAATGAATTATATTAGCTTTCCTTGATTGCCTTCCTCAACCACTAGAGTGCTCAAGGAATACAAAATAAATTTTTTACTAACTTGAATAAAACATTATTAGGAAGACAATGTATAAAAACATTTAATGTATTACAAAATAAAACATAAAGCAAAATTTTATAATTTATCCATTGCCTCCATTTATATTTATCAACACTATCTCAAGGACTTATTTTATTTTAGAAATACAATAAGCATATTAGTGAGGAGCCAAAGGTATGGATTAGATAACTTTCCAATTATCCAACATTTGGTGTCTTCTAATGCTAGAGGAGATAGAGCAGTCAATGTAATTCCTCCTTGCTATAAAAAATCAGTGCTAGGAATGGGCAAAACCCGAATGGCTCCTAATGAGTTTTCCTTCTGGACTTTAGTTCTCTCGAGTTTCATATAGCTGACTAGTTAATAAAAATGTTGATTTGTATGATACACACTTGGGCTTGAGTCTTAATCTGTATTTACTTATTTGTTCAATTAGAATTGCCATCAATAATAACTAAATTATAGAAATGATGAAAAATAAGTTAGTCTTGTATCATTTCACATCCACAGAATACACTTATAAACTCTATTGACAGACTTATTTTGCAAAAGTAAGTGTTGCAAGGAAAGGAGGTGAAAGAGGATATGGATGATTTAACTATTATATATTATATAACAAATGGCCAATTATTAAATATTAATAGTTAAATGATCCATATCCTCTGGGAAAACAACTCAAGGTATACATCTGAACGATGTTATGATGCTGGAAGTGCCTTCTCCTCAGATGAAGGACAGTTCTTACCCCATTTTGGGGGGTATATATTATACACAATGATAAAACCCCCCATCTCTTAACTAGTGTGCATTATAGGCAATGAACACATCTCATTAAGCAAAGTTTGATTTTTGGTAACAAAGTTATTTCTCAGTAATGAACATCACAGCAAGTTTTACTGCTTTTATATTTAGCCTAAAGGGAAATATATACTAGATAAATTCAAGGATTCTTTCAAACATGACCCTCATATAACACGGAGGACCACGGCAGTTGCTCAGAGCCCCACTGAAGTGGCAGTTCAGGAACAAAGGAAAGGCTTGCCTTCTCCGCCATTTCTCCCCACCCAACCTCATTTTTACTTCTGCCTTCAAAGAAAGTGCATGCTTAGAAGTTGAATCTGGCCCATCGCCTGCCCCATCAGACTCACTGAAACTAAGTTACAGCCAGGAGGACTGGAGAACGATGACTTTATAAACACTTGCCATGCACTCTAAGGTATTCTTTGTCTCATTGATTCCTTTCAAGATAACGCTAGACCTCATGAAACACTGCCCAGGAAGAGTTTATTTTCTACCATCTAAAGCTAAGAAACATTTTACAGTTTAAGCCTAAAAGAAAACTAAATGCTGTTCCCTTTGGCAGACCCAAACGATGTGATACAGAAGTCAGTAAACTGAGAGAATTCTACAGCTTTCTAAGGAAATAAGAATCTCTGATTGAGGGTGTGAGGTAAAAAGTTTATTTCAACAAATTAAATGTTTGTCTTTTTTTCTTTTTGAAATTACATTTTCTCTCCTTCTGGCAAATTAAGATCCACTTGTCTGGGAAACCAAACTTAGAATTCTTATATTCCTCATTAGCATTATTTCTTCCTCTATCTTTGAGCTGTTTACCTATTCTAGAAACTTTGACATATGGGAATTTCACACCTAGTGAATATATTTTCATGTGGCTTGTGGCATGAGACTATAATCATTAAAAGAATATACACAAGTGAGAGTAACTGCAACAGCTGGTGACATCACCAATTAGAATCGTAGTTCTTTAAAACACTTTATCCTTCCTTTGCTGTATGAAAGGTAATTATCTCTGATAAATTGCTGAAAAGATGTAATTTTCCTTTTAAACAGTTTCTACTTACAGTACAAATGTGTTTGGATAGAAGACATTACCGCTGGTTCAGTGCTCCTTTCTGTGAAGACTGTTTTATGGCAGTAAAACTTATGTACTTTGGAAGTCACTGTATCTAATTCCATAATTACATGTTATCTTGTTAAGAAATGAAGTTGAGTTTAAAAAAAAACAAAAAAATAACTGAACAGATCATGTTAAGTTTGTTTTGGGGGGTGTAAATGAAAAGAGTGTGCATGACTGCATTGCAGAGTCAAATGCTACAAATTCTGGTACAAGTTAGTGTCCACCAAACTTAACCACCAATTTTACTAAAGGAGTGGCCTGTTAAACTTCAGCAACTGTGGATTAGGATGAGTTTGTATCAAAAATTTTAGAGAGCTATATTTAGAAATATTTTCTACATTGGTAATTAAATTATAGTGTTCCTAATGAATATGAGAAAATAACAATTAAAAACCACACAGCAAGCACACTATGTCTTAAATATCACTTAGAGAGAGTAAATGTTTTTTTCACACTTGCATTTGAACCTCTCAGAGCCTCTGGTCCACTAAGCATTAACTCCTCTCTAATAAACATTAGGGTAGTAATTTCTAAATCAAATAGGAGTTCCTAAATTGTTTCTAATTCAATTCAGAAAGCAACAGAATTTGGCTAACAAAGTTGTAATAAAAGGACACACACACAAAAACCTAGAAAAATTCCTCATAACCATAAAGAAATCAATACGTATCAAAGGGGATGAAGTATGGTAAGGTGAGTTCCTCAGACATCGGCTGCATAAGGAACAGAATATACCAGTTGAGTGAATGAGTTTAAGTAAGGGTGCAGACTTCAGCAAAATTTCTTTAAGCGTTAATCACTACTTAACCTGGTGAGATGAACATGCTGTTTAAAAAACGAGAAAAAAATCCTTGTTAATTATATGCTGTAAATGCTCTGACTTCCTGCCACTACACCTAATCCCACAGGTGCGAGTCTCGGCTTCCCCCATTCATGGGGAGGTGGGTGCCATGCTGCCAGTCATTTTCCACAGCAACAGATTTAGATGCAGGAGAAGCCGCTTAACCTTCCACTGGGGGTTAACAATACACTAGGCGAACACTGTCATGGTGTCTATTTAACAAGGAGACAATTTTTTCACTATATTATTCTAGTTTCAAACATTAACTAGAAGCTATAGTATAAATGACTTAATTTAAAAGTGCACTTCTCATAATCTAGAAAAGCTTGCCTTAAAGAAACAATCAAGAGTGAAACGGTGATATTCCAACACGTTTGGAATAATCTGCCTGCTTCATAAATGAAACACCCGCACCTGGTCACTATTCCCATTTGGAAAAAAATGAATCTTGTAAGATTTAAAACAATACCCTGTCTTCTCAATCTGAAATTGTCATAGGAACAATTTATATCTTGGTCCAGCATTTCAGATTCAGAAATAAGCTATGATTGACCATCAAAGAACATAGGACACAATGCTACCAACACAGAACTTATTTCAGGTATTGCTAAAAACAGTATTTTTCCTTTGCTATTTAATATATCCTTTATTACTTTGAAATTTATACAACAATTTCTATATTTTATATGAATAAAAATGTTCTTAAGGTTAAGTTTTCAAAAGCATTTGGAGCAATTTAAATAAATTATATGTTCTCAAGTACTTTAATAGAGGGTTTTGAGTATAGATAAGGATTATTTTGTAAAAATATATTTTTGATGTTTTCTACAAAGTTAAAAAATTATATTCACACAGAACAGAAGAAAATACATAGAACAGAAGTTTTTAACTAGATTCATGCCAACTTAAATATTATATAAGCCCAGGAAGAGAAATGATTCACAAAAAGAAAGATGAGAGAAAGGATGAAATATAAGCAATAAGAAATTTACAAGGATACAAAGCTTTCAATATGACTTAATAGTAGTTTACCTATTTTTTAAAAATTGTGGATAAAAAAAATTTCTCATTGTTCTCCAGAAAACTTCTGAATTATTACTTCAAGCAGTGAAGCAGCCACAGAGTCACCTTTCTCTTTGTTAAATTTAGCAGCATTGCAAATTCCTCTAATTAACACTGTTATGTATTTTGTCTCCAAATTGGAAAAAAATTCTGACTTTGGTACCCAGATCCTTTTGAAAACATCTTTTAGACTTGGAGGACGTAATGTGTGTCTTGAATGTGTCCATTTCATTCAGTCTCATGTTTTCAAGGGAGAGAGGTTCCACTGCCCCAGAGTTTTGATCTGGGAAAGGCTCTTCTGTCTGCTCCCTGTGAGTATAGTCAGTAAAAAGCACATCCCTCCCATCATGCTGTCTATGAGCGTATCTGCAATCAGAGTCTGCTGTAGTTAATGCTCCTATGACTTAGGTAGTTGTACTGAATTCATACTTAGTAGTCACATGAATGCTTCACACGATTTCTTCTAAATAGTGACACCATTTATGCATTTGTAGATCTAAGCATGAGTATGTTTAAACATTTTTGTTGTATCACTTGAGGAAAGCCTTCCAAATAGGAGGTTATTTTAAATATTAAGAGTAATAATGAATGATAGCTTAAGATATTAGCCTCCAACACATAAGGAAAAGAGGCAGGTTGATTTTCAACTGAGGTTTAGGGGTTCAATTTTAATCTTACTGTGCCTTGACTATTTGA